TGTATGTGTGTGTATGTGTGTGTATGTGTGTGTGTGTGTATGTGTGTGTATGTGTGTGTGTGTATGTGTGTGTATGTGTGTGTATGTGTGTGTGTGTATGTAGGTATGTACGTATGTATGTCTGTATGTCTGTATTTGTGTATGTGTGTATGTGTGTATGTGTGTATGTGGTGTATGTGTATGTGTATGTATGTAGTATATGTATGTATGTGTATGTAGTGTATGTATGGTATGTATTGTGTATGTATGTGTATGTTGTGTATGTATATGTGTAAATGTATGTGTATGTATGTGTATGTATGTGGATGTGTATGTATGTATGTATGTATGGATGTATGTATGTATGTATGTTATATGTATAGTATGTATATGTATGTATATGTTTATATGTATGTATATGTATTATATGTATATGTATGTATATGTAATGTATATGTATATGTATATGTATATGTATATGTATATGTATATGTATATGTATATGTATATGTATATGTATATATTTGTATTGGTATATGTATATGTATATGTATATGTATGTATGTATATGTATATGTATATGTATGTATATGCATGTTGGTGGTTCTGATGTGGTGCAAAGCTGGCGCACTCTCGCTTTTCGCTCGCCCAAACAAGGTTGTGTTGGCAGCCGCATTCGCAGTTGATGTAGAAGGGCTCGAAATCGGATGAACCAAGTCAACTGCAGGCTGACCACATCTTCACAAGGGCTTTGTCCCTACCCAGCACCATGTGTGCCGGGTGGGGGTGGAGGGGATGCTTGAAATTCCACCGACCCTTCAAAATGCATCAGAGAGATGCATGTTGGTGGTTCTGATGTGGTGCAAAGCTGGCGCACTCTCGCTTTTCGCTCGCCCAAACAAGGTTGTGTTGGCAGCCGCATTCGCAGTTGATGTAGAAGGGCTCGAAATCGGATGAACCAAGTCAACTGCAGGCTGACCACATCTTCACAAGGGCTTTGTCCCTACCATCCATAGGCAAGGGCGGCCGGGTTGAAGGACCTCACGGCCAGCATGGCATTGAGCTGGCACAGGTCATTGCCCAATCACTGGGTCCCGGATGGCGCCAGGAAAGAGATGATCAAAGATAGCTCCAAAGGCATAGAGCCGTCGTCGTACATCAGCAGGCAAATCACGCAGGGCTCCTATCGCAGCAACCTCTTGTAGATAGCTTTCTAAAGTCTGTTGGCTTCGAAGACGCAGGGACCACATAATGTCGTTAACAGATTTTCCAGACTTGTAAGCATGCACAGCAGCTCCTCCTCTAAGGCTGCCAGGCGTAAGCTTCGACGTCGCAGGAATGTCCAGAGTTTTCAACAAAAAATCCCAGCGTCTTCTATAAACTCCAGCAGACGCTGGATAGAGTACTGTGTCGCCAGGCTGAAGCAGAAATATCTTTGAGAGCAGATTGCAAGCTTGTTTGTGATCAACCTTCATGTGTTGCACACGTGAAGGCTGTCTGCCCAAGGATTTGAACTGTTTCAGCTGCAGAAAAACAGCGCAAGATGTCTCATCCAAGGCGTCTTGCGGAAAAAGCAAATCACTACGGCGACATTTCAGCACTTCACCAATTCTTCCAGCACCATAAAAAGCTAATAGAGTCACTCCACAAAAACGGTACCATCGCAGCTGCCAAGCAAAGCAAACCAAGCTCTTAACAACCACCTCTGGAATAGGAGGCCTGTGAGAGACAGGTTCACAAATCTCTCACTTGCCGACAATTTCCCAGCATTTTCCAGACTGAATGCGGAACATAGGTTTCCAACGCTGGACCGCTAAAACCAAGTGACGGAAATTGCTCAAAGCACCCCCAAAGTTAAACTGTTCCACGCCATATATGCAGAGGACATCAGCTAGAAAACTAGGAGCAACATCAAAAACCACTGAAAGATCCACACTGGGCAGCTTGATTTTGCACCATTCGATGAAAACATGCAGCTGTCTAGCTTCCAAGGCTTCAGTGGCTGGAGTACGGAGATGCACTCCATGAAGATTCAGTCCTCGCCGAGCCGCACTATATCTCGGCCCGGGGTTGGATGCTTCGCCTATACGCTGGGAAGAGGATCTGCAGCAGGCCCCAATATCGAGCTTCTTGCAGGCTGTCCACCGAGCATGAACGCAGCACGCCAGAGCTATCAGCTTGCAGAGCCCAAGAGGATAAGGTTGCGCCACCAAAGTCCAATTCTTCTTGTGTTTGGCTGATCTCCCTCTCAAGACTAAATGATTTCGCTTGCATTTGCACCAGAGCCTAAGCCCAGCCAGCCCAGGGATGTTGGTGCCCACTCGCGTAGGCTTCTTCCATGGGGTGCCAAAACGGCACATGCAAAAACGAAACAAAGATGAGGATGAAGGACTTCCGTACCTGGCGGCATATTTCCTCTGTTTGAAGAGCCATGACAGGTCTGGGTTTTCAAACCAAAACCCACAGCCATTTGCTTCTGCGCTCCTCAAAATCTCATCAAGGTTGTCAGCCTGAGAGTTCCCTTCTATCACCTTGGCTTTCATAGCTGGGGCTAGCCCAGGGATTCCCCTGAGGTTGCGCTTGCTGCGTATGGGAGGAGTAATGGCTGTAGTAAAAGACCTACAGACAATGGCAGCACCCAAGATCTTCACCGCTTTCAGTTCAAGCAACCGTAAAATTCTGCTGTGCACATAGGGATCCAAAAGGTCCTCAGAGCTACTTCTTTCAATCTCAAAAGTCAGAACCCAAGGGGCTCCACACTGAACCAACTGCCTCGCAACTCCAAACCTCCCACTGTACAAGTCAAGGGCTCCAGCTTCTCGCAGGATGAAGGGTTTTGTCTTGGCAAAAAATTGGTTCGTGTTGAAGGAGCGCAAAATTTGCAAAGCCTCAGCACATAGCCCACCCGACTCATCATCAGCCCTCCTAGATTCAGGAGGGAGCCCAGGCTCCAAGGATGCAGGGGGTGAATTCTCACCTCTGTCGCAACGCCTGCCCTGGCCGGCAGGCTCATCACTCTGTCGAGCTTTGGAAACAAGGACAGGCTTCAAGGACGCTCGAAGTGAACCCACACTCCTGTGCAACCGCTTGGCTAGACCAAATGCCTCATCATGCTTCATTCGTGCCGAGGCGAAGTCAGGTTGGGCTCGGGCATCGAGCTGCTCCAAATCGAATTCAGGTTCAACAACGCCGGCTTCCATAGCCGAAATCCATTCATCAAAAAGGGTGAAGTCACCGTCTGCAGCACTATCCCACCAACTCGGAAGCTCGACATCAGGACCAGGAACATCTGCATCACGGGTCGGAGCGTCCGCTCGGTTCAGAGGCGAAGGGAAATAAATATAATAGCCATACAAATCGGCACCCAGCATATGCGCCAGAGATCGCCGAAGCTGGTCGTTGAGAGCTGAAGAGGAAGCTCTACCCTTCACCAAAGCTCCGAGTGCCACTTGAGAATCCAAAGCAAAAAGAATCCGCTTGTGCTTCAAGTTCGCAGCGGATCGCTTCTCGGCATTCAAATTGGCATCAAGCTCAGTGACATTGATGTGTCTGCGCTGCAAAATAGGCCTTCGCCAGTTGAACTCATACTGCAGGCACGAAGCAAGCAAGTTCCAGAGAGGATGAGAGCTATAACCCTCGCCTGGCATCTCTTCGCCCTCTGAAAGCAGGGCGTGTTCTCTCAACCACGCCTTATGCGGCGGAAGCAACTTTGACCAGACGCCGCGCTTCAGACTGCGCCGCATCACTTCAGCACAAATGGTCCTTGGAAGCCTGGCACTCACCCCAGCAGTCCACGACAGAGAAGAGTCCGTGGCCACCAAAAAATCAGTAGGCTGAGCCCGCAGATTTATGCAAGCAAGGGGCCCCAATAGGGCCATAGTCCAGAGCTCGTCAATCATAGCAGGGGACAGTCGGATCACCGCCTTTTGGTCAGAAATCGCCAGGGCCTCAAACACCAGCTCCATTGTACACATCAGACGACGACGCAGAGAAAACATCGAGATCCAGGATCCTGCCAGAGCTTCCAGCAGGGACACCGAACACAACCCAAGGCTGGCAACCCGCAATGTAATCAACACCACAGGCCAGAGCCGCAGAGAGGAAGGTCGCAAAAGCCCTGCATTCCCGTCCAGCTCAACACCCCAAAAACGTGAGCAGAGCTCGGCTTTGAACTCCTTCTTATGGTTCACCTCCAGCCCTGCCTCAGAGTAGGCGCAGAGAGCTCGCTTCAGACGCTCTTCACTTCGGAGAGGCATCTTCCCATCTTTGTAGGCATCAAACTGAGAACGCAAGACTTTCTCCAGCACCACCAGATCGTCAATGATGATCCCCACACTCAGGAGACCGCGAGGGACACGCCCTCGCAGCGAGAGCAGCTCGTCATCCTCAAACACTTTCTTGCGCCTGCACAAGCTCAAGTGACTACACTGTGCAAACTCGCATGAATTGCTGTCCCCCATGGCAAGGGTCGAAAGGCCGACCCAAACCGGATCCTCATGCCATTCAAACGCAGGCCCAAACACTTCTACGGCCTCCTCCAAGCTCAGCGGGTCAGAAAGGATGTTCCGCATGGCCCTCTCAGGAGTTGTTTGAAACTGGTAAAAGAAATCCTTCAAGTCTTCGCCAGAAGCCACCAAAACTTGGTCTTCCTGCAAGCACAAGTCGACCAGGGAACTAGCAGAAGCCATGGCGTTGGTCCAAACGCTGCCTTTGCACTCCAAAATATTGGGAGGCCGGGAGTCCAAGATGAGGCGATCGCGCTCCAAGTCCTTGCATACACAGAACATCCCTGAGACATATGGTCCGCGCTTGCATGACGAAGGCACCGGCTTCAGCCTTCCTGTGGAAGCTAACTTCTTGTAGAGAGACACTTTGTTCTGAGCATCGGCAAACACTCTCACCTTTGGCACCGGTCCCAGATGTGACGCGGGATCAGCAGCAAGCTTCAACGGGGCATCGTATATCTCCGCAGTCCTTTCATCAAGATAAGGCTGAGGACAAAAACGAGGGGCTCCAGAAAAGGCAAGTCGCTTTGACTGAATAGACTTGGCAGCCACCATCGGGGCCCGTTCGACCCGACCAGCAAGAAAACCTGAACGCAAGGTATCCAAGGAGAACTCATCACGATTCCTCATCGGAGAAGAGCATGCATAGGAACTGACAGAACAACGCAAGCAGTCAAAAGCAGCTCGATGAATAGCACCTAGATCAGCTTCAAAAGATTCGAACTTAGCTGCAGAGCGACCCATTGAAACTGCATCGACTGCTTCAGGAGTATTACCATCCCAAGCCAGCCTCTTGAGTACTGCTACAGCTGACCACTGCTTCGGAGTCAATCTCGCCCCAAGCCTGAGTTCCCTGGGCGCCGCAGAGGGCCTATTTAAACAAAGCCAATCAAGCACCATCACATGTAAGCACACCATCCTCTTGTGATGAAGGCCTGAAACACTGCAACCTCGGGAAAAAACCTCAGGATACGGCAAGGGCATAGGCCAAGTTGAAGAGCCTCGGCTGGGAGACGTAGCTGCATCTGTACGATCAGCAGGGCATTGAACGATACTGCGCAAAAAACCAGCAAGGCTGCAGTGGCTTCGCAACAACCAGCGTGGCAGCGAATTCACCAAAGAGGCAACATGCACCGTCGAGGCTGCAGAACCAGGAACATGCACGGAGTGCAGCTCCGCAGCCCCCTCGTGGTCAGAGTTCAGGGATCGGACGCGGCAGCGCCCTCCCCGGCTTTTGCCTTCGGTTTGGCCTTTGCTTTTCTCTTGGGATCCGGCAGCTCTTCCTTCGCTCCAGACTTGTTCAGGCCCCGCCTCTTGGTGAGGTACTCCTCCGTGTCTCGCAAATGACTCAGAGCAATCTCTGCCCACCTTGCATTCAACAAACGAGAATATGGTAACTCTCCGTCTGCAGTGTTTGGCGGTTGATGTTGGCTCAGCACCGAAAAGGGGGGCGGAGCTTCCAACGACAATTCCGCTGCCAGCTGCCAGCCGCCGCGATCCACGGCGCATTGGTCCAATTGCAGGAGGAGGAGACAAAGGCGGGCCCTTGCCGACGGCACATCGTTCCGAAACAGAGCGTCCAGCGCACCTGAAACGCCCCACGCAGCATGCGCAATAGACTTGTAAGCACCAATCTTTGACCGATGCTCGGTCCAGGCTCGAGCACTCAACGACGCAGCAGGACTCCCAGGAGTGAGAGTCTGGCTGCTGAGGTCTTCCCACATGTGTCGCTCTATCACCGCAGACAAATCGCCGGGGTGCTCCACCAAAGCGCTTCGAAGCGCTCGACGCGCCGCTGCAGCCCTCTTGCCGCTGCCATAGCCTCCAATCTCCTGAGCATGGCTCACGCCATCCAGAGCGGCCTCCACCCGATTGGAACTGGAAGGTTTCTTGTTCTGAGCCAACACGGAAACAATCTGAGTGAGCTTTGAGACTGCTGCTGTCATAGGATCCTGGCTGGACCCGCTGCCTGCCAAACCAGATTCTTCGGCCTCCTCCTCGGTCTCGGAAAGCGCGCTTGCGGCCAATGGCTGCCGCAAGGCTGGCTCGCGAGTCTTCCCCATCTTCCCAGTCTTCGATAGAAGGGTCTGCATCTCTGTGAGAGCCTCTTCGCCAATTCCGGCCTGCAAAGCCGCAGAAACAACACCTGGATCCAATCCTGGGAAAGCTCTGGGCTCGGAAGGTTGAACACTTGGAGGAATCGTCGCATGACTCTGGGCAAAATGTACTCTGGCCTTCGGGCTCGGCTGAGAACGTGGCTTCACCTCTCGAAGCAAGGCCTCCACTCCACTGGCTACTTGACTCAGCTGACTCTCCAGAGAGGTCACCCTGGAAGAAAGCACGCCCAACCCAACATCTTCTGGAACGGGCTCCGCAGAGGGAATTTCCTCCATCGGAGTCTGAAAAGAAAAATGATCTTGGCAAACCTCGGTCAAGGCATGCGAGTAAGGCAAATAATCCAGTGATCCATCTAGGTCGAAGGAGACTTCTGCCGGCTCCTCCTCTGAACTCCAAACCACTGACTGCACCACTGTGGAACTGAGAAAACCGACCCACACCCTCATAGTGATTTCCGAATCCGGGTGCGCTCGGTCCTCCATAGGACATACCGCTACTTCGAGCAGCGCTGCTTTTGTGAAACAATTGGCTGCTAGCTGTCGAAATTCTCGTCTGCTGTTCCATGCATTAAAAGGGAGAGCAGCCAAGACCTTTCTCTCAACTTCAGCTATGAAAATCACTGAGATTCGCTTGTGAGCTCTGGCAGATTCAGGAATGATGCCGATGGGATATGCAATCTGAATTTCCCCTTCTTCAAAAACGAAGGGATGGGTTGATTCAGGGACTTCTTCAACTGAATGTTCGGCCCCTGAGTCATGCAAATCGTGACTCATGCCTCAATCTTGCCGGCCCAAGCAAATCCTCCTGCCCGAACCGCTCGATCGACTTCCCGCTGACTAGGAAGTCCCACAAAAACTGAATCCCCTGCACTGGCTCCACGCTTCACCAAAGCACGAGCCGACGACCACTTGCAGAAGACCCTAACGGGGTCGTACACAGTGCCTTGAAAATCTCGGACCACAATCCAGAACCTCGAAGCCAGTGGAAGGGCGTCACGCCCCGAGCTGCCTCGATGCACCCCAGACAAAGAGCGCCGCAAAAAACGCCCCACCTCAGTCGCAATCTCCTCGCGCTCAACCCAAGTAAGGCCAGGAATGCGAGCCTCTGGAATTGGGGCTTGCTCAGGCTCGCCCGAAGTGATCACAGAAAAGCTGCTGGTGCTCTCAGTCTCTCTAGGATCGGGAGCAGGATGGGAGTACCCAGCAGGTTCGCTGCTTGTACCCGCTTGACCTCGCTGTATGGACCTGCGCAGAATAGTGAGCTCGGCTCGAAGCTGAACCAACTCACTTCGGAGCAAATCAACCTCGTCCTTGAGGCTATCCAGTTCCGCTTGCATGCGCCCCAACTACACAAACCGGTAAAGAGATCTGGCTGTCTGAATCGGTTGGCTAACCCGATCCCAAACAGCACGAAAAACCACCAGTCTGTAAGTCAGAATTGCCTCGCAAACAGGGAATATCAAAAAGCCAACAAAGATTCCAGCCAAAACAGAGGGGATGTGCCAGGTAGGTTCAGGATGCAAAATTGAGCACACAGCACCAGGGTCCAGTGGGGCAGATCGTCGATCGATTTGATCGAGAAGTCGAAGAACTATGGCGGCAGTCGACCCAGCTCCAATGCTCGAGGAAAGAGCTCGAGCCATATGATGCTTGAAATTCCACCGACCCTTCAAAATGCATCAGAGAGATGTATATGTACATGTATATGTATATGTATATGTATATGTATATGTATATGTGTGTGTATGTATCTGTGTGTAATGAGTATTCGCTACTAGTAGTTTTTGTAGTTGGTGGTGCACGAGAACCACCGAAGGTTGCAAGGTGATGCAAAATTCTGAAGTGCAGTCTTGAAGTCCAAATCTCGATGAACTGGCCACAGGAATCGGAAGACTTTCTCTTGGCTTCAAACACCACCTCCTAATCTCTTCAACTTTTCGCAACCAAGGTGCAAGCTTTTCGCTGAGCCTCAGTATTTGCAGGATGCAATTGCGGCCAACGCGTCAGGCATATTCAGATCATGCAGGCATTTGCAGGATTGCTTCGAATGCTTGGAGACTCAACATCTGTAAGCTGATCAAAGATGAGTAAGGACGGCAAGAATATATAAAAATAGGACAAATTTGCCCGAACGGAGGATTTCACCGACTTCACTGCTTTTCGTCAAGCTAGCCAAGCTACTGCGCCCAAAATTGATCACCACTCCCCAAGATCTGATGCAGCGCTTCAGCAAACCTGAGACAAGCGCAACATCCAACAAGGAGAAGCTCTAAACTCTAAACATTCTCCATGAAAGAGTAATGAAAGACAAGAGAGCAGTGCTAAGTCAAGACAGCCTACTGCTAAGCACTGCCACACAAATCACACAGTGACACAGCAAAGCATCAGCACAGCTAGGCCGGTAGGCACTGTCTAAGCACTGCACGAGCTGCCTGCTGGGCCAGTACTGCCCGCAGGTCGCCGTGCTGCGCAAGCCTCCTCTGCACCAAAGATGCCCACGCGGCAAAGGCCTGCAAGGTTCGAGAGAGTTGACAAAGACCCTTCGTGGTGACTCAATGGTCCCAATCGTGGTTGCAAGCTAGGCGTCTGCCCTGCTACCAAGTCACAAACTGATGCAGGATCGCTGTGGAACTTCTTGAGACCCTTATCATTGCGACATGGATCAAACCAAACTCCGACTACGTTCACTTCTGTCACTTGCTTCCGCTCTGCTCACTATGCCAATGCATCATCTGACTGCTGCGTTTGGCGAACTGCAAGTTTCACAACGTTGCCGCCCTTGGCTTTCTCAAGCTTTCTAGTCAAGTCACTTGGCCAGGAGCTTTGTCGCCATCTTGTTCCGACTCATCTTCTGCGTCCACCGACGCCAGGCAGCCAAGCAAGGTGTCGCAGCACTTAGGCCACGGTCTCAGCATGTAGCTGGGCTCGGGTTAGTCGAACGTAAGCAATGCAGACCGAAACTGTTTGCGCGTGATCTCATACTATGGCATGTGACGAATAAGACATGTACATTCTCTCCCCATAGAGATCTTTCACATACTTCTCAGTGCTCACGGGATTCACTCAACTCTAAGGCGTTCAATCTGATCTTTGCTGAGGTCAGTGCCACGGCTTCTTTCTTGCCAATGCTGCTGAAAGCACCTGAGTGTGACCTGGGTACATTGCTTCAGGGACTCACAAGGTTGTCATGGCGCAGACCCGAATCAGAATCCAAACATATATAGAAGTGCGCGTGTGCGCACGCGGGTTATAAATTTCTCTTTAGCTATCTATCTGATTCTATCTGTCTATCCATGGATCATGAAATTTTCATGATCTTTCTATCTCAGTAGCTCGGAGGAGGCGAAGTCTTTGGCACTCCTCTCGCCACCTCGTCGCTGTCACATCTGAACAGCGCATTCAAAGCGACTGAGTTCGGTGCGGTTAAACAAAAATACCGTTGCAATCTGCATGTTTTGTTATGTTTGTTACATTTTGTTACATTTTGTTACGCTGAGCGCCCCTGCCCTGCCATAAGAAATGATGCCCAAAGCTGCCTTCGCTTTTGCCGAATGGCTCTTGCCATGACCTCCAGGGTGTAACAAAATGAAGGCGCTGGCAGCTCCTACAGATCACATGAAAAAGTTAGTAAGAAAAGTTAGAATCATCATTTTCGAGTGCAGTGATTAGAGCACTCAAGCACCATGGTCTCACCACCTCTGTTGAATGACGCTGAATGCATTTTCAAATCGTTTCACCCTTTTGGTGTGGTGCTGTTTTGCATTTGCTAGTGCGTTGGGATCTCACAGCCAATTTGCCTGGTCCCTAACATCGCGATGCCACTGAGTCAGTATGCCTTGCAGAAGTCCTCACAACAGCCGGAGCGCCGAGCCCAAGAAGAATCATGGTCAAAGGATGTGAGAGATCGAAAGTCACGCCTGCAACCACAAATTATATGATCGGAGAAAAGCTTTCCAGGCGATAGTTCCGCGAAATCGGAATGATACAATATCAAAGCAAGTGTCTTACGCGCAGGTTCCAAGCTAACATGGACTATCTGCTATGGCTACCAGCACCAGCCCTGCTGGAAGGTCACATAAAAGTTCAAGCCTTGTGGCTCCACGACTGCAAATACATGATACTCCAACGTGTTGCAACCGAGCCACTTCCTTGCTCCATAACAGCACGATGAGCAAGCATCCCCTAGCAGATCTGTAAGAAGGCTCCAAATTTAAGACGAATGTCCAGTATATTCCAGCAGCTACATCACTTAGAGCCTGCAATTTTTTGGAGGAAATCACTGCATGACGCCACCGAGCCAGGAGGCCACGGATCCTTAGTCCGGGTAGATACTGGGATTTTCTTTTTCACTACTGGAAAAAAATTAAGGTTCACCCCTACTCTCCAAACTGGAAAGAAAACTTAAGACACTGGGGAAAAAACTTAAGAATCTGTACTTTGAACCTTTTTGCACCTGGAATCTCTTATTTGTACGTATAATATGTGCAGGGATTGGGCACTTAAACATCCCGGCGGAAGCGTTACCGGCGTGCGAAAATGATCAAAATTACTGCGTCCTCACAGCGAGGAGCGAGTTTTTGCATTCAAAACCTATCAAAAAAAGGTCCGTCTACTTTGGGAATGACAACCCTTCCATCACTTCAGCCTCAAAAAGGGCAACCGCAATTTTTTCTCACATTGAAGATCATAGAGCGTAGCATCAAGTTCATGTGGAAATGCCAATGACGTTGTTATCCCACCCCACCCCACCCCACCCCATGCTATCGGATGCGGATGTGTGGAATTGCAATTGAAGATCATAGAGCGTAGCATCAGGTTCATGTGGAAATGCCAGTGAAGATCATAGAGCGTAGCATCAAGATCATGTGGAATTGCAATTGAAGATCATAGAGCGTAGCATCAAGTTCATGTGGAATTGCCAATGACGTTATTATCCCACCCCACCACACCCCGGCTATCGGATGCGGATGTGTGGAATTGTAATTGAAGATCATAGAGCGTAGCATCAGGTTCATGTGGAAAAACCAGTGAAGATCATAGAGCGTAGCATCAAGATCATGTGGAATTGCAATTGAAGATCATAGAGCGTAGCATCAGGTTCATGTGGAAATGCCAATGAAGATCATAGAGCGTAGCGTCAAGATCATGTGGAAATGCCAATGAAATTCATAGAGCGTAGCATCAAGTTCATGTGGAATTGCAATTGAAGATCATAGAGCGTAGCATCAGGTTCATGTGGAAATGCCAATGAAGATCATAGAGCGTAGCGTCAAGATCATGTGGAAATGCCAATGAAATTCATAGAGCGTAGCATCAAGTTCATGTGGAAATGCCAATGACGTTGTTATCCCACCCCACCCCACCCCACCCCAGGCTACCGGATGTGGATTTGTGCGACGGTAACGAGTCCGTTGGCTTAAACATGCAATTGCATGATATTTAAAGCGTTTTGGCCTTGAATAATTCAATTTTATGTGCAGCTGAAATCTCTTATTTGTACAATATTTGCAGGGTTTGGAACTCAATTATGCAATTTGCATGGTATTTAAAGCGTTTTGGCCTTGAATCCCTTGTTTGCACCGTGCTCGCAGCATCTTGGAGCCAGCATCTGTACTACGCAGGGGATTATCTGCAGCATTTCATGTTATTTGCAACATATTGTCTCGAGTTAGCGGAGCAAACTCTCAAAAGAACACAAACAGAGTTGATGAAGCTGATGAAGTTGATGAATTGATTTAAACATGTTAAAAGAACTGCCTGCAGACAAAGTTGCTCGCAACTTTGGCTACGTTGACGCCACCAGCAACTCCAACCTGCCAGTCGCCATCGCGTCAAGTGCCGCTGTAGTTGCCACCGGAGGCACCGTTGCCGAACCTGAGCCCAGCCGTTTGGCGGGTTGTGATGGTTGTGCACACAATTGAAACACTCCAAGGAAGAATTCGTTCAATTGTCTGCGTCACCGACGGACATTTTCAATTTTGTGTTCCACGAATTTCCACAACCTCTTTGCTCGCCTCCTCTGCATGCTTGGCATAGCCGCGCCGTACTTGTGTGAAGCTTCGCCAGGCTGTCCAAATCTGCCAGGGGCCACGACGGGCCTTGCCTGTTCTGCATCACAAGGAGCGATGAGAAAAAAAATGGCACCTGTAAAAACCACGGCTTGACCCCTTCCGCACACAGCGAGGGGCCGGCTCGCTGAAGAAAGTTTGCATCGATGGCTCGCCATGCAGAAGCTTTCCGCCATCGAGACCAAAAGCGCTGCCGAAGAGACTTCCGCACTGCACTTGCAAGGGCCTTTTTCCTCAGAAAGGCCAAGGTGCGTCAGCCAAAAGGAACTAAGACTGAAGCCGCTGATTGAAATCCAAAGATCAAGAAAAGCCCACGCTGTTTAGGAGCCATGCGTCCGCACAGTCAATGAGCCCTTTGTTCTGGAAGCACTTCTACGGGTCTCATCACACCACCCGCGAAGCATAGCTCCCAGCAAATGATCTCTGTAGAATGTCCTTGGCTCTGTGAGGGCCAAATTGACTGGCCGCATCACTTCAACTAGCTCTGGCACTTACACCAAATGTTTCACGGTTTGCCCATGGCCCATGGTTTGCCAAGTTCCCCATTTTCTCAGTGTGTTTTGGGCATTTTGTCAAGTGCAGCTGGCAACCCGACGTGGCTTGAACCATCAGCTTCCACCGAGGAACATCATCCGGGAGGTACTCGGGCTGTCCTTCCAAACAAGGTGAGCTGTGATGAGCTGTGTGGCATTGGCCCTTCTCTGCTGGGGAACCATGCAGTTCCGAGTGAACACAGAATTTGTAGTGAGTTGTGATTTGTTGTGATTTGTTGTGAGTATTGACATGTATCAGGACATGTATATTGACATGTATTAACACAATGTATTAAGTCACAATAAGTCACAGTTCCTCGTGTTCCGGAACTCCGACGAACCTCTCCTGCAATGCCATGCTCAAAGCTGCTCGTTGAGCAGCGCGACTTTGAGTCCAGCAGTGTCGTACACCAACCGTCAACCGCTGCCAGGGAAGTAGGACACGCACCGTCCTGCACATTGAGAAAGATTTGGACAGTAGGTGAAGCAAAATTCGTTCACGCAGGTTGACAACCCGTGGGATCAGATCGCTTGATATCGCTTGCCGTCCTCTTCTGCCACACTTTTGCTGCCCGGAGCCGCAAGGCCTCAAACAGCGCTCACATTTGAGTTGCATTTCTAGGGTCGCGCGTGTACACACGCACATACATACAATTACATGTGTATACTATACATTTGCTTATTCATGTTTATTCATCTAATTCGCTTTATTTTGCAGAAACTCATGCATGGTACATACATGTTTGGCTCCAAGTGGCAAGGCCATTGCCCATGTTTGTTCTATTTGCATCTGTTCACATCTGCCTCTCCCCGGGTCGCCTGCTGCTTCTGGCACCCCAGCTGCCAAGACATCCAAGCGCGATGAAGCAACCGCCGCAGCGAAGTCTTCCCTGCGGTGCGACATGCTGCTGCACTGTCAGTGGCACGTCTCCTGGCGAGAAACATGCAGAAACTGAGCTAGAACTAGGCCATCGGTGTGAAAGTGAGGTGCTGATAAATAATGCGTACAATAAAAAAGAAGATTAAAAAGGAATACAATATATAATGTATACAAATGCGGAGCAATTGCCAACTTGTTTGAAGCATGCTTCTTTAATCTTCTTTACCATGATGGAATACTGAAGTTCAAAAACGCGCTCCGCAACTGCTCATGGCTGCACCATTCAAGTTTTCAGGCCTCGTAATGAAGAGAATCAAATCATATGAAGTAATTCTATTGAAATATGAAATTTATATAAATCCATCAGGATTCGACCCCCCTCAACCCTGTCCAGGTGCTGAAGACTCGTCGGAGAACGCTGCCAAAGCCTTTCGACGCCATCCATTTCCATGCCAGCTTGTTTCCACGACTCCTCAACACAAAGATCTCTCAACAAGTCTACTCCGACATAAACATTTACTCTGTGCACCTCTTTAGTCCTCTTTGTCACTGTGATCAATTGTGATGATCAATTGTGACCTGAAAGCGGGTCGTTCAGCTCCTGCGAGCCCAAGCTGCCCATTGAAGCAAACTGTCGGCTGCCTCCCGAACTCTACGGCGGCGATGAGCGTCTTCAGCACCTGGGCACTCCGCGACATCGGAAACCGAACGGCATCTCTCCTGTCTGCTAATCGAACGTGCTGTTGACAGTCGAACTATAGGAACGTCATCAAAGCATACCAAAACATTTTCCAGTGGACTTTTCCAAAGTCAATGACCTGCTGGAGCCAGAATCTAACATAACATGTAATGGTGTGGGCAAATTGTCCGCACAAAATTCTTGGATCTGAGGAACGCTTCCGAAGTAGCAGTTTGTAG